TTATTTCTCTCATTCCCTGCCTCGTGTACTCCTTTCACGCTGGTGAGGAGTACACCGGGGCATTTTCACTATGCCCAAATGCTAGCCTGCTTCGCCAGTGCATGCCGGGAGGGGTGAGTTGCCACCAGACTATCTATTGAAACAAAATTACAGGTGAGTGCACTTGGAAGGAGGGAGAAATGAAAATTACAAAAATAACAATAATGGCATCAGTTAACAGCAAAAGAGGGTTATGGATAGGTTCAAGGTACCCTAGTGGTGCGATGGTTGGGCACCCAGCTGCTAACAAAAAGGCTGATCAGCAACCTGGACCCAGCAGGGGTTGCAGAGGAGGAAAGCCCTGTCAACTGTCAGTGTGTCCTTGTGAAAAGCATAGCTCTACTGGGCAGTGGTGTTCTGTCCTGTCGGGTCTACACAGGGCATATATAGGTTGTGTGTGCCATTGGAATCGAGCTGAAGGTTGCTGACACAACAGCAACATACAAGGGGCACTGCCCTCCCCAAGCTGGAAAATATCTCCACTGGGCGGAGCTTTTGTAGCACACATTGTTCCTACTAGGTGAGCGTCAAGCAACCCGCTCGGAGTTAGTGCACCCAGTGGCATCACCTGGGAAGGTTCTCTCTGGTCACAGTGAATTTTTTTCATAAAAGAAGTTTCACTCAGAGCTCATTTTTTGTGATGACAAATTTATAAAACAATGTGCAGCTGTGAAATTTTGTTTCCCGCTCAGGGAAAATGCCACAGACACTGCAGTGATGTTGAACACAGCTGACAAGCACAGTGCTAGGGAAAAATTCAAGTGTATGAGTGGTTTTCTCATTTCAAAAAAGTCAGATGTCGACAATGCACCTGCTCACACAACCAGCTCAGTGTGCCAGTTTTTGGCAACAACCAGCATGCCTCTCTTGTCCCATGCACCTTACTCACCTGACCTCACCCTCACTACATGCGACTTTTTGTTTCTGTGAATGCAGAGGGACTTGAAAGCATAGCAATTTGACAACGTAGAAGAGGTGAAGAGAAAAAGGAGGGAGGTACTGTCAGCCATCTACACAGATGAGTTTGAAAAATGTTTCCAAGAATGGAATTGCAGATTTGAAAACTGTATTAAGTATAATGGAGAGTACTTTGAAGGTGATAAAGCTGTTTAATAAAAAAATTAAATACATAGCTTTGAAGAAAATTCCAGTTTTTTGGGGGGGTGTATCCCCTTGTATGTATGTCAGAAAGAGCTTCCTGGGGGGTGCAGAGCTGGTGCTCATTTACTCATCCACAGATTCATGTTCTGACCCACCGGCGGTGCTGTGGAAGAAAGACCGGGTGATCTGCTCCCACAGAGATCACAACCAAGAAGCCCCATGGAGCAGGTCCACTCTGTGACTTATCCCTGACCCAGGAGCTAGCATCGATGCAATGGCCACAATTTGGGATTGGTTTTGGTGTGTCAGGGACAATACTAATGATGATAAAGGCATCAGCAGCTACTTTTTACGGAAACTATACAAAGGGAGTATGAATATTAAAAAAAAACCTAACAGATAAGGAAATTGAAACGTAGGGAATTTAAGTGACTTCTTCAACGCCACAGCAGCTCCTGACTGATGATGGGCCTTGATGCTCAGTGGGAATTCCCAGAGGGGCTGAGGACAGACCGGGTTGCTATTGCTCGTTCTGACAGCTCACTAGGGTCATTTGTGCTCACACGGCGCTCTGGAAATGTCAATGACTTCCAATGAAATGAAAATTCCAGGTCTTCAGTGACACTAGCTACACTTCAAGTGGTCAGCGGCACTGAACTGCTTTTTACATTTCAGCCACTTTTAATTGAGTTGAATGTCAACGGTCAGATGTAGCTGAGAAACTCTCCCCTCCTCCACTGCCCCCAGACGTGTCAGAATTACCTTCCAAAAATCTCAAAGTTTCCTCACATATGAAGCAGCCATTAAAAAAAGAGAGAGAGAGATTTAGGGACGCTTGTAAGGTCAGCTTTTAGCTAAAGAACAGACTGGCTCCCCAAATAAAGAGTCTCGCCCATGATCATGAGCTCCTTTTACAAGCGGCCCAGCGCTACACTACAGCAGCGAGGAGAAGGCGAGGGGCCTGGGGACTGACTGAAGGTTGGAAGCGGGAAACCCAGGTGGAACGAGTGAGAATGAGGCATGCTGTGAAAAAGGTCCACAGTCTCCCTGAATCTTTTGGGTAGAAATTGTTAAAATGGGAAGTTAATTTTCTGGGTGAATGTTTACCTTACACACATTATTTTTTAAAACTCCATCATACTCCCAATAACTCCCCCCCACCCCCAACAAACAAGCAAACAAAAAAACAGGGGTATAATTTCCCCAGGTCCTCCCTTGGGAGAAGAAACTGCTCATTCATTCTTCTTACCTGGGCATCTTGCACATGCCCTGCCCCCAGCAAGTCTAACTGCCCCAGGCATCTCAGTGTGGTGACAAGAGCATCCGCACAGGCAAGGCAGGAGCCACTGCTCAGCAGAGACTGATGCTCAGCTGCCCCTGCACGGAGCTGGTTCAAATGCAGCTTTGTGGGCTCACCTCCAGAGAACCTGACGCAGAGGATCTGGGCGAGCCCCACAGGTCCAGGTGGTTCGAATGCAGGTGGTCCAGCTTTGGGAAAATTTGGCTTTAGAGGCCGAATTACATATTTATCTCCTGGCCTCTTAATAATTATAGCACACAAATCTTTGGAGAATAATGCAAGCTGGGCAGGGAGCCAGACGGGCATCACTCTGCGCTAATTGCTCACTTCTCCGACATCAGGCCAGGCGCTTAGTCACCCGGGCCTCTTTTGTTCATCTCAAGCAGGACTCAGCCCTCTGGGACAAATAAGAAGGCTCTTATGAACGCGCTGGGCAGGGCGGTAAAAGGTGACACGCAGTCAGCCACACTCCTCTGCCACGTAAAAGCTGGGTGACATTGACCAAGACCCTCAGCCTCTCTGTGCCTTAGTTCTTTCAGTTCTGGAAGGAGAATCAGAGTGTGGTTCTCAACCTTCCCAGTGCCTTTCATTCGGTCCCTCTTGTTGTGGGGATCCCCCAAGCATAAAATTATTTTCGTTGCGACTTCATAACTGTCATTTTGCTACTGTTATGAATCGGGCCACCCCTGTGAAAGGGTCATTCGACCCCCAAAGGGGTCGTGACCCACAGGTTGAGAACCACTGCCTTATAGGGTTGTGATGGCTACATTACACGAACTAATAAAGTGTTCAGAGACATGCTTGGCACACCGTCAAAGATTCCTAAGTGTTAGTTGAATAAATACAGCATCACACGGTAGGAATCAACTGGCTCTTTCCCCTTAGATGGTGCTGGTGACCACACTTTCCATCCAGACCCATCTGACTACGGCGTCCCTGCGGGAGAGGGGAGACTCAAATTTCCCTGCCTTCATGGCCTGCCCTATGTGGGGCAGATTTACTCAGCGTCCACCATCGGTCTGTTCGTTGGTCACACTGTGGTAGTGCGCACATTGTTATAATGTGGGAAGCTACCACTAACACCATCGAGTTGATGCTGACGCATAGCGAGGCTACCCCACCCCGTGAGTTTCCGAGACTGTAAGTGTTAATGGGAGCAGAGAGCCCCATCATTCTCCTGTGGAGGGGCTGGTGGTTTCAAACTGGTAACCTTTCCGCTCACAAACCAATTCATATCCACAATGCCACCAGGGCTCCAGGATGTGGGAAGCTAGGTCACTAGTATTTCAAAGACCAGCAAGCTCACTCAGGGTGGAGAGGATCCAATGCAGCTTCCAGAGCAAGGCAGAAGACTTCTGAACCTGGGCCGGTGAAAACTGTATGGATCCCAAGAGAGTTCTGTCTGATACAGGGGAGCCCCCCAGGGAGGAAGGTGCTCAACATGCACCACAGGAACACGGATGAACTCAAACACACCAACCATCATGAAGACGGCACGGGACTTAGAGACGATTGTTCCTTACACACAAGGTTTCCATGAGCTGGAGCTGAAGCAGTGGTCACTAACAACACACCGAGCACATCTTACCGCAGGGCTTCTCAGCCATTCCCAGTCTGTAGTGGATGGGCAACCCCCACCCCAACACACACACACACACACACCCCCGACTCACCACAGGAGTTCTACAAGCCCCTGCTGGTCTATCCCCTGGTCAATGAGCTGAGACAGCTGAACAGACTGCGGGGTGCTACAGCAAAGGCAAATGGCTCCAAGCGTCAATACCTTTTCAGCGCTTAAAGTGCTGTGAATGGCTAACAACTCGCAGGCATCCTTGACTCCCAGCCCCATCCTGGAGGACGTCCGTCTTCGCACTGGACACAGACCAACCAGACAACTTGGTGGTAGTGGTGGGGGTTGGCTCTCTCTCTCTTCACTCCTGTCCCTCTCGGCTGCCTGCCCTTGTCCTCCTCTGTCGATGTATTTCTTATGTCTTTATCCTCACATCCAACCCAGCCCCCTGGTGAGCTCCTGGGGCCTAGGACAGCCTTTGAAGTTGCAGTAGATGCTCTGGTGTCCCAGGCCTGGCACCCACCATCCCCCAGGGGCTGCGAGAGCTGTGTGGGCTCATCAGAGCTGGCTCCTTCTCCTGAGTGCTGCTGGCTGGCTGGCAGGGGCTGTTTTGTGCCAGGCTCACATTCCTACTCTCACCCTGCACTCACCACCCGGCGGCCCAGAGCCCGTGGTGGACAGGCACAGTGCTACCCAAGGTCAGTCTCACAGTCTCAAGGAGGCAGTTCACCCTCCAGAGTCCCCTGCAGGATCAGGCCAGTGGGTGCACCCCTACTCACTTGCCTCCAACTCTATTCCCTCCCTCTTAGGAGTCAGCATCCAGGAAACCAGAGCAATCTGAAGACCTGTCTCGGGTGTTGTGATAGTATAGCATTTAAGAGAGAAGCTACCCTAGACTTGGACTCCCCCGTCTCAGCAGCTTAAAACCCTGAGGACCAGCAGCATCAGGTTGCCCACGGACTACATGTTTTCCAGGTCGACAGAACCTACCTGTTGCATTAGACAGGGCCAGGGATTCCATGGAGCCCCGGGGGGTCTGCTCGGTGGGCATCATGTCCTCAGTGTATTTCAAGGAACTGATGGGGTGGCGGGTCCGACACTGCTGGGTGGACAGGCCCTCTTCCTCTTCCTCCTCCTCGTACTTGGGGACTTGGATGCTGCCTCGGGTTTCACTGAAGCTCTGGTTGGACATGTCGCTGTAACTCTCCTGGGATCTCAGCCGGCCTGGGTAGTAGTCCTCGCGGCATTCCTTGATGAAGCTGCCCCCGTGTCCCTTCATAGCCAGCGACGAGCTCCTTTTCGGGTTGCTGAAATGCTTGCCCCACATGTCAGGCTGGGCCCCGGCCCCTTGGCCTCCGGGGCTGTAGGACGTTCTGATGTTGCACTGGCTGAGAAGCTGCAAAGGACTCTGGGCCTGGTTCTGCTCCATCTTGTTCCCATAATGATAGGGCTCCTCCCGGCTCCTCCAAATGGGGTCCCGGTTGAGACTGGGCGTCTGACTGGACAGGCTGAGCAGGTCCATCTGCATGGACAGGGGGTCCACGTCGGCCGACAGCAGGTTGGGGCTCACCTGCAGCTGGCTGTGCTGGGGCAGTACCGGCTCCTCGCTCTTGCCCTTGTTCTTGCCGATTTTGGCGCTGCGCCGGGACTCCTTGGCCCTGGCGTTCTGGAAGGCGGAATCCGATGAGTCGGAGCCATTAGGGTCCTCGCCAGCACTGCAGGCCCTGGAGCAGAAGATCTGGCCCTGCTTGGGGAGGAAGGGCCGGCCCAGGAGGGACTTCTTGCAGTGAGCACAGCAGAAGCAGGTCTCGGTGGCATGCCAGTGCTGGCCGTCGTAGGTCATCTGACCTTGGTCGATCCCTGGGGAAAAGAGAGACACTGGAGAGGCTGATGTGCTGCTCACGCACTTCCACCGCCACACACACGCAGGGCCCTGGCTGGCCTCTGGACTCCAGATGCAGCCCAACACACGGTCCATACGTAAGTCAGTGCCCAGCTCAGCACGTGCCTGATGCCCATGCCCTCCCAGGGGAGTCCCCTTGCTCTTTCTTAGGGTGCCATCTCTGAGCACAGAGAATCCAGATCACAATGCCCTGCGGGGGGCCCCTTCTGCCAGGGACGTGCTTCTCTTAGAGGGTGCTCAGGATCCCCACAGATAATCAAGCACTGCTCAAGGGCTTTGCAGATGGAAACCCACTTGCTTCCTCAATTACTACTACTATCTTTCAGATGAGCAAACAGAGGCATAGGGAGGTTTAACAATCGGCCAATGGCTGTAAAACCAAGCAAAAACAGTACGGGCTGGCAGAAAGTCTGGCTTCTAACGGTGACCTGTACACTGAAGTTCCCTGCCAACCTCTTGGAGAAGTACTCCTGCCCCCCAGGTCTCCTAGTGTGTTCTCCAGCATGCTCCGCCATTATCTCCTCCCCGGTCACCACAGTATTACCAGCATGTGGCATTGGACTGCTAACTGAGCGTATCTGTGTATCATATAGCTTCTCCACTACACTGGAGGCTCTATGAGGTCAGGGCCATTGCATTTCTGGGGAGTCTCCTCAGCCTCGGGGCTGCTCCTATGCTGACTGCATGGAAGATTGATGTCCATCGCCAGTGTAAGCCATTCCAACGGGCAATGCATGACAGTAGTTCAGCGATAAAGAAGAATATGCATTTTAGCTCTCGGTAAAGAAAGGTTTGGCCATGGTCTGTCCAAGCCATTCGCTTCCCACACCTGGGTGTGCCTTATGCAGTTTTGCTAAATGTTTATCAGAGATTCACCCCCATCTCCTCCACCCTTCCTGCTCCTCTCTCAGCATCTCTTCAGGTTGCGGACTACAGCTCCCTGTGGGGTCCTTGCCACCCACCACCCTCAGGCCATGAGCCCCAGTGACTAGTACAGGAGTGGGCATGTGACCTCTGCTGGGGCAGTCACCTGGGACCCCTGCTACTGATTGACACAGGGAGGCTCTCTTTCTAATGCAGTTGGAAGCTGGCAGGACGTAAGGCTCCTTGCCTGAGAATTCAGTCACAAGTCATTAGTATTGGATGGGAGGGGACCTTTTCAAGACTCTTGATGCATGATGGTAAAAATCCTCCCTGAAATGTGGGACTAATGGGAATGCCGCCTTCAGGGCCTAAGAATCCCTGAGGCTGGTCCTTGAAAGAACAAGGGCTACAGTCTTCTCTAGAGAGATAGAGGACAGGAATCCAAGAGGGACTTTCTGTACAGAACAAGAAACCACGGGAACAAAGGTCAAAGATGGAGGTGCCTCATCTTTCTCTTGCCCTGTTCACTGGGGTGTCTCATTGGGAGAGAGGTGGGAGGTAAATGGTCCCATTATTTCCTTTCCAATCTAAGGGGAGTCTGTTTATTTGAAAGCCTGGCCCAAGGGACTAAAAAACCAAACCAAGCCCAATGTCATCAACTTGATTCTCTCTCTCTCTCAAGGACAAAGTAAAACTGCCCCACAGGGTTTCCAAGGCTGAAATCTAACAGAAGCAGATTGCCACATCTCCCTGGTGGGTTCAAACAGGTGCCCTTCTGATAGCAGATGTCAGCTTAGCCACTGTACCATCAGAGGGATTATTAGAGGGGTAGAGCAACCACACAGGCCACCCCAAGGTGGGAGGGGCACTGCGCAAACCAGCTGGCCTTCTTTGGACATGTCCAGGAAGAGTGAGAAGGGGCCAGGGCCTGCCTAAACAATACCGCCCAGAGCTGTGGGGGACCAGCACTTTCTGCCCAGCCCCCTGGGAGGAAGCAGGAGCCTGCTGCATAGGGGGCAGAGGTTGCGAGGGGGACCCCAAGAGTCAGCCAAACTCCATCCTGTGTGGCAGCACTGACTCTGGATACTGAGGCCCCACTGCCTGGGCTCCCATCTCCGCTTTGCCCCTTTTTAGCTGTGTGACCCCCTAGATGGGTTGCTTCATTTCTCTATGCCCCCTCTTCCTCAGCAGTAAGCTTGGGATCATCCTAGGACTCACCTCATGGGGCAGCAGAGAGGATTCAATGAATTCATACGCTCAGAGCGCAGGTACCTGTGTGCGGATCTTTTTGCTACTGTTACTTCTCTTGTGTTTGCATGACGTCTGAAGGCCTGTCTCCCTCTGCTCTGAGGGTCACTGTCGGGGATACCCCCCCAGAGGGAACTCCGAGGCGCTGAGAGTCTTCCCTTGATGCCAGCTCCACTTCTGTTCCGGGCCAGGGGTCTAGAGAGCGCGTGGGAACTGGTCTCCCTGGCTGCCCTGTGGGGAGAGCTACCTTTGTGGGGAGCTTCTACTCCTTAAGGTATAGCAGCCCAGGCAGCTGGGGCCTCATCCACACCCCTTAGACTAGTGAGCGGACAGGAAACCCAGTTCTCTGGCATGTCCTCCAACGGCTGCTTCTGCAAGGAAACTGAGAGTCCAAGGCTCCCAGTTTCTGGAGATGGGGAGGGAGGGGAAGCCAGGTCATAAAGCAGCCCAGCAGGCAGGGGACTGTGCTCCCTGATAAACATCAGCGATGTCAGACGGTCCTCTGAACTGCCGCTGAACCCTCAACATCTGGAACAGGGCTCTGTGCCCAACATCTAGCGTTCCTGTCTCATTCCCGTGGTAAGCCCTTTAAGCACTTCGCAGAGGGTGCATGCGTCCATTGGGGCTACAGCCTCGGTCTGTTTATAGGACTGTTTACTCGGCCCTCTGCGGGCTGAAAGCCCCGTCGCCCTGGCAACAGCCGCCCAATGCAGGGTCTGCTCCCAGCCGCTGTATAAATATGGACTATTTGTAGAGTTTGGCCGGCATTACAGCACCCAGCAACGGTGGAATGCCTAATTCACAGAGCAGGCCCTTTCACACTGGTGCGAAAATTGTGTTTTGTGGCAAAGCTAATCTTTGGGAGGGAAAAAAGAAAAAAAAAAAAAAAAGATTAAAGACAGCATTCCAGTGATGCCAGAGAGGAAACGGCAGGCCAGGGTGCTCCCTGCTCTAGTGAGATGCTGGCATCTTTTTACGAATTTAAGGAAAAAGGAGAGGAGGGAGCTAACTGGTGCTGTTGCTGATCCAGACTCCACAGAGACCCCGTAGCACAGGCCGGCTGGCCAGCAGGGGCTCCGAGGCTGTGGTCTTTACAGGGCAGGCCACCTGACCTAGAGGGGCTGGGTGGATTTGAACCGCCAGCCAATTTGGATTACTCATTGTACCCTTGTGGCTTTTGAAATGCTAACAAAACACGCTGCCATCAAGCTGATTTTAACCCCTTATATATGGTTTCCAAGATTATGAATTTTTATGGGAACAGGCAGCCTCATCTTTCTCCCAAGGGGCAGCTGGTGGGTTTGAACTACTGACCTTTCAGGTAAGCAGCCCTAAACCAAAAAAACCAAACAAACAAATCAAACTCACTGTCACTGAGTTGGTGCCAGCTCATAGCGACCTTATAGGATAAAGTAGAACGGCCCCTGTGAGTTTTCAAGACTGTAACTCTTTTTTTTTTTTCAGATTGAATAAATGCTAATTTGTTAAGATATCTCTCAGCTCATACAGAGCATGTGCATTTTTGTGAAATTACATGAGGAGGACAGGTGAAGAAGGCATGAGAGTTTGTCCTCTCAGTTATGAAGACTAAAAGTCAAAGTCAGAGTGTATGAGGGGAGGGTTCCCCTCCATCTCAGTTGCTAGTAGCTGCTGACATTTCTTGAGATTCCTGGACTTATAGACACCTCTGTCTCCATCTTCACATGATGTCTTTCCCTGTGTGCCTGTCTCTGTGCGTCGGTTTCTCAGCCCTTCTTGGCGGTCCATGTGCGGATGCGGGAGGAGAGGAGGGCAGGAGAGAGCGACTGTAACTCTTTATGGGAGTAGAAAGCTCCGTCTTTCTCCTGAGGAGCGGCTGGTGGTTTTGAACTGCTGACCTAGCAGTTAGCAGCCCAATGCCTAACCACTATGCAACCCTACGACAGTGAAAATAATGGACTAAAAGAAGGAAAGCTAATAAAGCAGCAGGGCCTTCTGAGGTCTGCACACCTATTTTATTTCTCCCTGAATGAAAATTCTAGGCAGCAGTCTCTGGAGAAGCTTTTAAACCTCCCTAGAAATGGGCAGAAGAAATCGGACCACCGATGACAGGTAGCACCCCTCTAGGCAGGCCTCCTGCACACTCAGTCCATGTCTTCTGAGCAACCATGGACTTGCAGACTCAGAATTCACAGGGGAGCCACACTGGACGAGTCAGTTGTACCATTTTCCCAGATGCTGCTCCCTCCCTGCCCTTCTGCACAGGTCTGGCTAGCTGCCTATCGAGATGGGAGCGCCTCCTTGCCTCCCTTGCAGCTAAAAGAAAGTTGTGTTCCTGACTATCTGTTCGGGCCCTGGAGAAACACGAGCTCCTGGGTATGTAGTGAAGGCACCAGGCTGTGAGTGGGTGAGGGCTTTAGAGGGAAGGAGGACAGTGACCCGTGTGCCACCTGACATCCCAGAGTGGAATGCAGCTGGACAAAGGGCTTCATAACAGTGCTGACCCCTGGCCCTGACACAGGACTCTGAATCGGGAAGGCCTCATGGAGTTGGTCTGAGTCTCTTGGCTGGGACTTGGACTTGGACTGCCCAATGACAAATGTCATTGGGCACACAGTAGGTGGCCCATGCACGAAGCTGTGGTTTTCACTAACACAGATACCCTTTCGAATGACTAGTTAATTTTTCATCTGAATAGATCCCTTCAGATGGGCCAAGGAGACAGGCAGTCACTTCTTCTGGGTCCCTGGTACAATCTTGTACGTCAGGACAACTGGGCCCCGAGATGGATGCTTGTCACATCTCCTCACTACAGGTAAGGAATGGGCAACTCCCAACCAGACTTCCTGCAACCACACAAGTCCACAGGCAGCTTGGGCTGAAGGTCTCGCAGACCATGCCCACTGGCAAGCCATTCCCAAAGTGCCAGGGACGGTCAGGGCAATGCATACCACCCACCCCAAGCACAGCGTGATCTGGGCCAGCATTGAAGGGCTTTACAGACTGGGTACCTGCAAAGGGAAGATGATTTGCAGCACATCGGGTCTGTCATTTACTTGGGGAGTTTATACCTTGAGTGATTTGAGGTTCTTTAGGTTTGAATTTGGCTGAGCTTGAGCTGGATTGGGGGTAGGGTGGTGTGGTGTGTGTGTGTGTGTGTGTGTGTGTGTGTGTGTGTGTATGATGTTTGCTAGAAGTAACTTGATTTCCTTGTTCAGGTACTTCCTCACATAGCACCGGGACATCTCGTCTGGCGGACCCGTGACTCCCATCCACAGCAGACTGAGAGGATGACCGGTTCTCTGTTTTAAGGGGCAGGCATAGAACCAAGGCAGGGTCAGGAAGATTGTTATTTGGAGGGTCTGGATTGGCTACTGGGAGAGAGCTGGCCTTTCTCCTTGTGAGAATGAATGCAGGACCTAAGAAGATAAGCTGAACTGAAACAGAGTGGGGGTGTGTGAGGACATTTTTAAACCCTTGATCTGCTTTTAACAGGGACTGCTGGCTCGTCCCTGGCCTTCCCAGAAACATGCGCCAAGAAACCCCCTTTTCAATGTAAGCTAGCATAGGGTGGGATTTTACCACTCATAGCCAAGGAGGCCTAACTCTTCCAGACACTACAGCGATCCAGCCAGATCGGACCAAGCTGAGCACCACGCGCTGACTCACCTATGTGTTGGGCACAGGTGTCACAATATTCGGCATATAGGGACTCGAAGCAGTGGCAGCAGTAGGGCCGGCCCTCCTTCATGATGTAGCGCTGGCCGCCCAGCACCGTCTCACACTCAAAGCAGCAGAAGTGTTTCATGTGCCAGTGCCGTCCCTCGGCTTCAGTGCATTCATCTGCAAAGATGATCTGGAGAGGGGCAGCCAAACGGTCAGTGCTTGAGACTCCGCCATGAGCAAGAACATCCTGCCCCCAAGAAAACCTAAAGGGCCACCCCAAATTAGATTGACGGGAAAGCAGGCCCAAGCTATCAGCTACCCAGCCACAACACAGGTGTGTTTCTTTATACCCTATTGATTCCTGCTTCTAAATTAGGATTTGCTTAAAGTACAGCCAGACCAGACCTGGCCGGGGATAAATCCAACCTCATTTCAAAAGCAGGCAGAGCTTTCTACTGGGAAGAATCGAGCAGCGCCCCACCCTGATAGTCCATGGGCACATTTAGACATGTGCAAACACATCTGCTTCATGTGGTTTGTACACAACGTTTTAAAAATAGGGAAATTTCATATAAACATTTGGAATCCTGGCTTCTCTTTTAGAAACATAGCATTTGGTGATGGCCCAGCACACATTGATGCATGGCAACAACAGACTAGCCCTGAGAGGGGTGTGCTGCTTCCAGATGGGCGGAAATCTCTCCAGTTTGTCAAAGTCCTCACCATTCCTTATTGCCTTAGGAAAGATCACTGCAATGTTCAGCACAGGATAAGTGCTCAGAAGCATCTCAGTTAGGGGTCTCTGGTATAATATGATTTGGGAATAAAATTCAGGGCACAGGTTTCAAAATGTCCCACAAAGCTATAGTAACCAAGACAGCATGGTGCTAGGAGTAGAACGTACCCAAAGATCAGAGAAACAGAACTGAGAGTAAAAAAAACTCCCCAAAACTCATAGGCTTATGGTCACTTGATTTCAAAATGGGTACCAAGGCCATTCAATAGGGAAAGAATCCTCTTTTAAACAAGCAAATGGTAAACACGATACCCACAAATAAAAGAATGAATTTGGACCCTGACCTCATCCCATATTAAGAAATGAAGTCAAAAGTGGGTCAAAGACCTAAACTCAAAGCTAAAACTATTAAATTCTTAGAAGAAAACAGTAATCCATCTTTGTAACCATAGATTTTTAGTTGTGACGATGATTTTTAATTATACCATGACAAGCATAAGCAACAGAAGAAACAAACAGATACCCTGAAATCCATAAAAAGAAAAAAGAGATGTTGGCGCTTTGGAGGACACTCTCAAAGACAGTGAAGGCACCGCCCGGAGAACGGGTGGCAGATCCCGTGTCTGGCAGCGGACTAAATCCAGAATGTGTCAACAGCTCTTGTAGCTCACTGATGAAAGGTCGAAACCCACTGCCATTGAGCTGGTTCTGACTCATCGCGATCCTAGACAGGGTCTCCAAGATGCTAAGTCTTTACGAGAACAGACAGCTTCACCTTTCTCCCTCAGAGAGGCTGGTGGGTTTGAACTGCTGGCCTTAAAGGTTAGCAGCCTAGTGCCTGGTCCACACCACCACCAAAGCTCCTTGATAAAACAACAACGCAATTAAAAAACAAAAGCTGAGATTTGAATAGGCATTTCTCTGAAGTAGATATACAAAGGCCAATAAACGTATGCAAATATCATTATCCATTTGGGAAATGCAAATCAAAACCACCATGAGATGCCACCTGACACCTACTAGGGTGGTTATTATTCAAAAGACAGGAAACAGCAAGAGTTGGCAAGAAAGCAGAGACCTCCCGCTCCTTGCTCATTCATGGTGGGAGGAAAAAGTGCTTTTGCCTTGAAAAAACAAGTCTGGCATGGCCTTGAAAGTTAGTGACTAGTGAACCCTGCGATTCCATTCGTAGGGCTTAAAGCATCAGAAGAACTTAAAGCATTTCACATACGTAAAAACTTGTATTCGTATTCAAGTTTACATTCAGCATTCCTAATAGCCAAAAAAGTGGAAAGGACTGCACTGTCCATCATCACTCGAGGAGTGGAGAAACAAGATGTATCGTTCTGCACAGCTATAGAACGGAGGCTGCTGGCTCAGGCTACAACATGGATAAACCTTGGGAACATTGTAGGTGACAGCTGTGCCCAAGGACCACTGGCCGGGAGGGACACTAACCCGGGTCTCCTGCAGGAAAGGTGAGCATTCCACCAGAGACACCCCAACCGATCTGAGTCCTCAGGCCATACTTCAAAGGACCATGTGACATCAAATCATGGTCTAGACTTTCTTCTGCTTTCAAACCAATCTGCCCCATTACTTCTGGGGACATGTAAGGGTTTTAGGCTACGAGTGGCCCTCCGTGCTTAAAAACCACTCTGGAATGAGGGCTGGCATCTAAAACGTCATGATGTTTGCCCCTCTTTAGGAGTTCTGAAGTGACCCCATGGCCAGGGGATGCCACCCGAGGAGCTCCCGAATGACAGAAACAGCCTGCCGTGGGGAGGCCATGGTTTGGGTAAAGTGGGCAACGGCACGTTGAGGGGTGGCTCGGGTGGGTCCTGCTCTGACCTCGTCGCAGGCGGCGCAGCGCGGCTTCAGGCACTCGGCGTGGTGCCGCCCGCAGTAGATCTTCCCATCCTGGTAGAAGTAGATCAGGTCCACCAGGAGCTCGTTGCAGACGGTGCAGATGAAGCATGGTGGGTGCCAGCAAACCCCGTGGCCTGCGCGCGACGCAAACACGGCGATGTCCCCTCCGTTAATCTGGCCTCCGCACTGCGGGGCAAAGAGAAACATTAGCACCTCCTCCCTTCTCTTTCCTCTTCACAATCGAGAATACTGAGCACAAGGGGAGAGCCGCCACCGCCACCCTCGTTATGGTCCAACACATGCCTGCTTGGCAGACCTGGCTGGCGTGGCAGGCTTCGCTGGCCCTCCCTCTGCCTCCTCCTTTCCTTGGGCCTACTACATGAATCACAGTGGTGGGAGGGCAGCCAAACCCTTTCGCACCATAACCGGCAGGGGACTGCTGCACAAAGCGACCGTCTCAAGAGTGTCCTGAAACTCGAAGGGCCTTCCAGAGGCACGGCATTCCCACCAGGAGGAGCTGGCGGGGCCAGGGCAGGCTGGGAGAAGGGCTTGGAGGGGCCCTGCAGAGTGGGTGGGCTCTGCACTGGGGGTTGGTGGGGGGGAGGGGCTGGGGCAGGGAAGCATGCCTTCCTTGACTGTTGCTAACCACCTGGGAGGGGTTCGCTGTCCAATTCGCAGCGATGGCGTGTGCCAGAATTGCCCCGTATGGCTTTCTAGGCTGCAATCTTTTTAGTTCTCAGCATTCCATATTTCATTTCCATTCTATTTCACCTTCCGCTGATTGCCTGAAGTCATCTGAAAGGCTTTGGGGGGCGCAGGTCCCCATGCCATTCTCCCTGCAGGCATCCCAGTGGATTCTAACCACACTATCCAAACCCTTCAGTCGGCAGCGTAGACTTAACCATGGGACCACCAGGCCTCCTTTCCCCTCAGGAGGCGGCCTTGGTGCCTTTAAGATCCTTTCCCATAGGCCGGATAGGATTGTTTCTTCTCAGTCCCTTCTCTCCCTTGGTTTCCCAAGGCCCTGGCCCTCGCTAGGTAGAGTGAATGACCCATGTTGTCGTCGGGGTGGGAGAGGGGATGTGACAAAGAGCAAAGGGGACGCCCGGAACCAAGGGATTGCTTTCAGAAGACGGTGGGGTTGGCCATGCGCTTCACCCTCTTCAGGAACCTCGCACTGTGACCCCAAGGGAATGGCTGAGTCTGGGCACAATGCCCAAGGAGTCAGGAAGCCATTTATTCCCCCAATCTTTCTCATCCCACAGGGCTTGCGCGGGTGCCGAGCCAGCAGAGACGTCGAAGGAAGCCCCCGGAAGCAGGGTCTGGGAATTCACATGTGTGTGATACAAAGAAAGACTTTGTCGACAGAAAATCCCATGCCAGCCTCCCATGAGGACATGAGTAGAGCTGGATTATACCTACATAATGCCTCTTAATCCGTATCACAATTCTTTGAGGCATGCACTTGTTACTAGATTTTATAAATGACAAAACCTAGCAAACGTGATTTAGTCAGGGTCACGTGGCAGAAACATGAGACAAACATATGTCTTTCTGCCTCTGTACTCTTGGCACCTCTCTCTCCTGCTCTCCCCATCTGCCCATGCAATGTCCAACCTTTGTTCCACCTCAGGTGGGCCCAGCTTAGCTGATAGCAAGAGACATGTCTGGTTGTGGCAGAGGTAAGGTGACCAGATGTCCTGCTTTTGGTGGGACAGTCCTGATTTTTAACAATTTTTCCTGCGTCCCGCGGCATTTTTTAAAAGTCCCGATTTTTGGAAAAAATGCATGACAAGCTAGGGTATATGGTTTTCGGCTGCATGTGGCTATTTCGCTAGGATATGAGTTTGATCAATGGTGTCCCGCTTTACCAATGTTAAAATCTGGTCCCCTTAGGCAGAGGGTCTTGAGCACACCAACATTCACACTGTGCCCACTGATCACCTGTATCCCAACAAGAGTCTCCAGGTGAAGATAAAGACTCTCCTGCCAAAGCTCTGGTTCCTTCCTCTCCCCACATCAAGTAGCGTCCCGACTCCTTCCACCTTCTTGCCTTACCCTCTGAAAGCTGAAACAAAGGCCCCCAAAGTGGCCTCCACCCCTGCTCCCTATTCCAGGTGAAGCAAACGTAACTCTGGTGCCTGGATGGTTCCATCAAGAGCGGAAGGAGTTAGATGGAGTTACAGAGAGAGCAGTGGGGCAGAGAGGTGCAGGACGTGACCACTGACACTGGCAGGAAGGCCAGTCTCCACCCACCTTCATTAAGAACCTTCTCCACCACACCACGTACTCTACTGGTGAGGAGAAGATCAGACACATCCAGGCTCTGCAACACAGGGAGGCCCTGGGGAGAATGCATGGGCCTTCCGTGCGCTTTGCTAAGGAACCCTCCAACCCAAGAAGGGTTGAAAAGGCTTTAGTCCTGAGAACATTCTGGGGGAGAATTTCCCCAGATCTGGTGATCCTGGAGAGCTCCATTTTCTACAGAACTCAATTAAAAAGATGAGTCTATCATATTACGATTCTATCATCATAGAAGCCTATCATATCATGCCCCTGATCAAATCTCCCCATGGCTCCCCAAGACCTTACTTGCAACTTTTCTCCCCTTCTGCCTCCTTGTTCTTCCTAGAGCACAACGGACACCACACAACGGACACCACACACCGGCCACGGGGCTTTGGAGCTGGCTGCACCGTCAGACCCAGGGGTCTACACGAACCATACCTCTGTTCTTGCCAGTCTCGGCTCAGATGTCACTTTCCAGCTTTCTAGGGCGGGGCTTCCCCAGCCACCTGATTTAAAATTCTAGCCTCCACACTCCCAGCACTTCCTAGCCATCTCCCCGGATGGGGATGGTTTTTTCTCTCTTGTATGTATTTGGTTTATTGTTTGATGTCTTCCTCATTAACATCATGCTTTACAAGGACAAGGTGACACTTTTATTGTCTCTTGTTCACTGCTGTATCCGCCAGGCCTAGACCTATGCCTGGCTGCCAACAAAATATTTATTGAATAAATGAATGAGTGAACAGGTGCCAGCACAATCCCTCTTCATCCCCCCCCCAACCCCCCCAGCCCACACTCACCTGTTCACAAATAGCTCCTGTCATCGTGACTGGGAAGGGCCTGACATTGCCTCGGCCCAAGTTTTCCCGTTTCCTCTGGTTACTGAACAGCTTCAGCTCCCTCTTCTCTTCCTCATCCAGAGAGTTGCAATAGCGAACCTGAATCACACAGAGAGTGGCAGAAAGAGGTCACTCTTACTCCTCAAGGTTCCTGAGGCCCAGGTCACAGAGTTTTCCACATTCCATGCATTCCACTGGGTCCTAATGCCCTAGCCATAACTTCTAGAACACCAGGCTTGGTGCCATTTAGGGTGAGTCTCCACCAAGACTGGTGAGTCAACGGAGCTTCTTGACAGTCCCAAAGGCACAAAGCAGTCCTAGTCTAAGATGAGACAAATGTTTGTGACAGCTGCTTAATCTTACTACCTGGCTCTGCCCACACAGATTTAAGCACCCAACTGAAATCAAATCATCTGCGCCTGGCTTTGGCGCCAATGCAGTTCCAGGGTTTTCATTCTCACTATGGATTTGTAGGCCCCTGACACATTGCAGCCACTGTACCCCTGGATACGACACTTGAGACTCAAGGAGGACTTCCACCTAGTGAACCAGAACGTGGTCTGATGCTCATGGCTTCTTTTCTCTCGATCTCATTTTGGGAAAACGGCAGAACAAAGGCTGAGACTGAGGAGTTGGTCCAGATGTTTCGGTGTTCTTATGTGGATAGCCCTGCGTGTTTACCTGTGTGCGGGAAGAGTGGAGCTGCCTGCTAGGCTGTGCGTCAACACAGCAACTCACAGCATTAAAACACATCCAGTGTTTTCCATTCTCTCTACTTATGCACACCTTGGGAATTTTGCCAGCGCCTCGAACCATTATTTACTTAATCATGTTTTAAGACTGACTGGCTTTCTTTTTTTTAACTCGAGTCCACTTATTTAAAAAGAGAGCATATCATGGCTATATATGGAAAGCTGGTATCACCTGCAATAAGTGGAAGGTTAGCCATAAAAATAAATAGAGAGAGAAGAAAACCATCTTGTTAGATTCCAACGATCTGCTTTGCTTATAGGAGGTCCCTGGTGCACTCTGCAAGAGCGGAGACTGGTCTAAGTCAGGGAGGTGTGAGACGCACGTTATTCAACCACTCCAGCTACAAGCAACGTAACAGAATTCACAAGAGGGGAACTTCCTTACTGACATGCTTCAATTTTATTTACGGCCCCGTCCATAGAGCACCCAAAGCCGGACACCGCACTCGGGGAGGCTTGGTTCTAATCCCACCTCCTGCTTCAGTGGCGCTAATCTGGGCAATCAGGAAGGTGGACCCACGGCTCGGGTGCGTTGGCATATAAGTGGTTAGAGGAAAATGTTTGAATGAGGATACTCATGCCCCAATTTGAAACCAGAGCCTTTAAAACATTCTACTTAACAGCATCAGTGTACCTCAAAAGGGTCCGAACCAAGGGAGAAAGAATGATCAAACATTTACTTTAGGATCATCCTTTGTCCTCCAAGGACCCTTGAATGTTCCGATGGTCAGATTCATGGCGTTTCCCCCCAGCAGGAAGAAGCGAGCTGAACAGCCTCTCTTCTCATGCAACCCAGTGAACCAACCAGCCACACCCCGAACAAACCCCTAAGGGCAGACAAGCACAGATCACGTCTCTCTGTCGAGTTAAAGGGGTCGGAACCACCTCCAGCTCCCGTGGCTGTCCCAGAGGAGGACTGCAGTGACCTCCACAGCCACAACACACACACACACACACACACACACACACACACACACACACACACAGTCAACGCTGCTAACATTTTATGGACAAGCTTGTAACGAGAGGCACACCCCTCAAGCTTGTAAAAACCCGCATTCCAGCTTCCAAATTAGTTACCTGGGCATCAGGTTACAATGCTAGCTCTCAGCTTTAAAGGTAAAAGCGTTATTTGTATTTGTCGGATGAACGCCCAGAGCAGCAGCAGGACAGAGGGTTGTGGGCATGCTTTGATGACGTTGCTAACATTGTTTGGAAGCCTTTGGTGGGCTCACTCCTATTCCTTTTACAAAAACAAAAACCAAGCCTGTTCCCACGGAGCCAATTCTGACTCACGGTGGCGACCTCACAGGTTACAGAGCAGAAATG